ATAAGCATGATTATAACAGTATCGCTTTTTTAAATTAGAATGTCGAATAAAATTAATGCATTTTTATGGAAAAAAAAATTAGTCTATTCCTAACTTTATTGGATTTTCTTTGTAACCTTTTATTTAAGAGGTCTTAAATGTGGGTAGCTTTCGTTGATTCTTCAAGGTCAAGGCTAAGTTAGGGATGGCGAAAGTAAACACAAAATACGTGTTTTCCTTCACAAAATTACTCCTTTGTTCTAAGTCTACTTTATGCGTATTTTGTGAAGTAATGAGATAATCTTTACACAACTTTAGCTTGGAAATATTTCTTTAAATTTCATGTATTTTAAATAGAAATCAAACATTTCTGTATTGTTTAAAAATGATGACTTCAACCTCAAATCTTCGTATTAAAATAGAATTGAAAACATATGTACCAGAATATTTTTTTGAATTGATTTTATAAATCGATACAAAAACTTCTGTAACTTTGCCTGTTAGTTCTTTTTGAAAAATAGTTCATAGCATAATGATATCTAAGATGTTCACGTATAGTCATTTAAATGAAAATTAGGTCGACGTTTCAGTTCCTTTACAGCTACCGTGTTCTCGGAAAGACGAGATTGTTGCGGTTGGGATGTCCGAATATCACGTATATCGGAATCGTTCGCCGCTTGAGGGGTGGATCGGATCGGATGATAATTCCTCCAATAGCAGGCGGCCGGTGATCCGATCCTCGGGATCCGTGTTCGTGGCGGGTCGTATCGTCGTTTTAGAATGAAACCACAACTTGTTAGGTAATGGCGGCAGAATCACTTGGCGGGGGCGGGGCATCCGCGCTGGCTCACAGCGGTACTAGGTGCGCGCGCGCAACGTATATAAAACACGGCCGCTGTGAGTCGAATAGTTAGTAGTCATCAGTAGTCATCAGTCAGTTGTCATCAGTCAGTCGTCATCAGCAGTCGTCAGTAGTCAGTCAGTCGTCATCACCAGTCGTCAGTAGTCAGTCAGTCGTCATCAGTCGTCAGTTGTCATCATCAGTCGTCATCACCAGTCATCAGTTATCAGTAGTCATCATCAGTAGTCACCAGCCAGATCTCGTGAAGACATCTCATACGCTTTGAAGAACAGTGAACAGTGAACAGGGAAGAACCCGAACAAAGAAGAACCGCGCTTTCAAGATAGTGACTAGGGACCACGTGGTCAAACAAACCAAGTGATTCTGCCGCCATTACCTAACAAGTTGTGGTTTCATTCTAAAACGACGATACGACCCGCCACGAACACGGATCCCGAGGATCGGATCACCGGCCGCCTGCTATTGGAGGAATTATCATCCGATCCGATCCACCCCTCAAGCGGCGAACGATTCCGAACTCGATATTCGGACATCCCGACCGCAACAATAGAAATATTAATATATTTTAAACATCTAAAGAAAATTGAGTTTTATTTATTAAAAATTAATCAAGCAAATTATTGTCTATAAATTTTAGTTTTCTAGTTACATAATTGTTACAAGTCATAAATTAATCGGGATTAAATAATGTAAAGGAAACACGCTATAATACCATTTGTATGGCCATCACGCGATTTTAATTCTTTTGTTTACAAGAAGGATTGGCGAAAACATTGCAAGTATTAGCTAAAAGTAAGCAGTACTAAGTTTTCCAGAAAAATGATAAAATGGTATATGTATAATATATAGATATATATTTTAAAGGTATATGGACGTAGAAAAACTAATAATTAACTGTTAATATACACGAAGTATGATGACTAGAGTATTCAGTACCGAAGCGCAAGGTTGAATGTCTTTGTTCGCTAATCCGATGGAATATTAAAATCTTACGAAGCAGTGGGTAAACGTGAAACTCATATCGTCGCCCGTTCGCTTCGCCGCATACTACGCGTTTCGCCCGAGTATGCTCGTGAATTAAATATTCATTATAAATAATATTACATAAATTTTTATACATATAATATTGAATATATAAATGTGTAGTGTGACTGTATAGAGTGTAATATACATAAATAAATATTAAATATAATTTTATATATGAAATATGTCGTGTAATAAATAAATATAATATAGTTACATATATATTTTGATATTACGCCTACAGGTAGTTACAGCGTTTGATTTGACCACACAAAAATAGCTCAAGCTACATCCTTGAAAAGTAATACTAATACTTCTCAATTTTACATTTTAACTTCATTTATTTAGTATACTTTTATACTACTTATATGAATTGTTATTACTACGAAGACTTTAATACGAGGTTTTTTAAGAATATTAAGACAAGGACGGTAATATTAAGACAAGGTTCTGACAACTATAATGATATCTTTACGGTCCATTGAAACAATGCTGTTATTTCAATTTGAACCATAACTCTGTGAACATTGGTTTTCTTTTCACTTGTAGTGTCCTTGTTATGTAGATATTCTACTGTCAATCAAGTTTGTTTTCAGTTACATATATTGTATTGTTATTTATGAGCGGGAAAGGGAGAGGGCAGCTGATGCTCCCTCTCCGCGCAGGCGACGTACGGGGGTGCGACGGAGGCAATTCCTACGCCTCCAATAGCACCCCTGTGTTCCGGGCTGGGGTCGGCGTGGTAACCCGGCCCTTTTGAAAGCCCGGCGTCGTCGGGGTGGTCCTAATTGCCGGGATCGCCCCCATTCTCCGAGGTCCGGTCTTTGCCAGGACCGGCCAGTCGCTGGTGTGCCCTGTCGCTGACAGATCCGGGGTACACCGACATAGCGGCCGATGGCTTTCGCAGTGGTTTTAGTGAGTAGGGGCCTGCCCAGGCCGAGCCTCACACATCCCTTCCGGCCCCACCAAGGTCGGTTGGACGGCTCGTAAAGAGTTTCCACTACGTCATCAAAAAAAAATAAAAAATTGTTATTTATGAGAGTACTAAAACAGTCGAGTCTACTCGAATACGGCCTCCGTTTCATTCATTTTACAACCAGAATCTTCTATTCCCACAAAAGTACTTCAACATGTATTTTACAAAGAATCTTGTGTCCATTTATAATACTTGTAAATACAAGTCGATGAATTAAACAGACTTGTAGTATTCTATATTTGTGAGGAATACGGAGAGGAAATAATAAAGATATCATCTAATGCACTGAAATTGTGGTTATAGAGACGTGACATGAACTTGTTATAGAAAACGAAACTCAATTATGTAGGAGAGTGCAGGACCTTTACCAAATAAATTATTGATGAAATTGTAGGCTAATTGGGTGCGAAGACTCCTAAGAGCTGAGTTAATCGTCGCCAATTATATTCTTTACTTTCTATAGACACTGTTTCCAAACCATATTTAAGTTGTGGAAGAGTATGTTTTAAACAATAACTATTTTTGAGAATTTTGTTAGTCTGATCAAATATGCTGCATTTTCAAGGATAAAAACTGTTAATATCTTAGTGAAAAAAAAAAAAAAATAATTTCGCGACGTACTAAGATTTCCTAATGGATCTGGAGAATTATAAAAACAATATAAAAATTAATGCTATTACAGAAAATTTCAAAAGATATACGATATTTTCCCAGACCCTGGCTAAAGCTGAAAAATTGCCAGGAAGAAGAAGATAAGATATGGGAAAAAAGTATCAAAATATATTTGAATCAAAAGATCCCTTTTTTAAGCTACATAGTTATTTTTTATATGTATAAATAATATCGTTATTATAACAGACATCTTGGTACCTCCATGAAAAACATTTTTAAAAAACATGTCTCTTTTGGTCTTGTTTTGTTATCTGTCTTGAGACTGGTCATTGTAAAACATTAAAACATCAATATTTATGGATTTGACAAAAGACAAGGAAATAAGGCTATATATATATATATATATATATATATATATATATATATATATATATATATATATATATATATATATATATATATATATATATACTTTATAGAAAGCATTATTTTTGGACAGTAAAAGAATCTTTATTTGAAATATTGTACAATTTCCTTGTCATATAAGTTATATATATATACTTATAGTTGGAATATATATAGGCTTTTAACTTATTATTGCTTTGTTTAAACTGTCTAAGGATTATATGTATGTGATATAGAAATTTTTAAGATTTAGATCTTAACAATGGTAAAAAAATATCTCTGGTAATATAATTTTAATGTATCAAGTGACATTTTCATTAAGAGTTACTTTATGAAATACGAAAACTTCAATGTATGTCTGTCTCAATAAAAGACCTGATTTAAAGTCTTAATAGCTAAGTTAATAGGTTTGATTGGGACACAATATTCTGAAAGTCATAAGTTATCCTACTGATTATGTTAAAAGATTTTGTTAAAGAAAATATATCTAAGAAAATTTTACTTAATACTAATCATGTTTTTCTGCATTACAGGTAAGAGTTCCTAAAGACATCTTCGAGCTTGAACATTGTAAGTCCACTGCGTTTTATTTTATGTATAATAATTACAAAATAATTTGTCGTCAGAGAGTTAAAAATAGCTCCTCCGATAAGCTGATTATGATACTATTATACGATATTAATATTATTATTTTAAAAGTATAATTTCTCTTGTTTTAATATACTCTAAACAATCCGGGGTACACCAACATAGCGGCCGATGGCTTTCGCAGTGGTTTTATTGAGTAGGGGCTTGCCCAGGCCGAGGCTCACACATCCCTTCCGGCCCCACCAAGGCCGGTTGGACGGCTCGTAAAAAGAGTTTCGTTGCGTCATCAAAAAAAATATATATACTCTAAACAAAATTCAAAAGCATATTTAGTCTCTCGATGTCATACAATATAACAATTTAAAATGGTGTTACTTTCCTATATTTATTGAATAAATAATACGATTTTATATTAAAGTTTTCCTGAATATATTGGAGTGACATAAATCACCCATACTATTGAATTAAGTGGGGTCAAACTGTGGACATGTTTAATTTAATGAAAAACGCTGACAATACCTTCAGCGTATTGAATTTGAATTTGCTTCAATTTCCCTGCTTGAATTTCCCTCAACTGCTCGATTAATTTTTGTTCAGTCGGGCAATAAAAAACGAGAGCCTGCTTTAATTAATAGGTCTAACGTGTATTGGAGAGAAAAGAAGGACGGCGTGTGGACAACCCACCTGCTCGCCGGGAAGGCGCGCGTTACGCCGCTCAAACCGGTGTCCATTCCGCGGTTAGAGCTTCAAGCCGCGCTGCTGGGGACAAGGCTGGCGCAGTCCGTCCTGGAAGAGTTAGACGTCGTACCGAAGAGGCGTACATACTGGACGGACTCCAGCACCGTGCTAGCATGGATCCGGTCGGACCCTCGAACGTTTAAGCCATTTGTGGCGCACAGGCTGGCCGGGATCGAAGATACGTCCCGACCGGACGAATGGCGCTGGGTGCCCACCAGCCAGAACCCAGCAGACGACGCCACACGTAGCACCCCAAAGAATTTCACCGCGAGACACCGGTGGTTTACGGGCCCCGATTTCCTCGCGAAGGAGGAAGACAAGTGGCCAGAGCACCGAAGGTTCAAGACGTCCATCACCGGGGAAGAGAAAGAAACGAAGCACCTCGTGGCCGTCGTTTCACCCAGCAGCCTTCCCACACCTGACCCTGTGAGATTCTCCAGGTGGGTAAGGCTTCTACGGGCGACCGCGAGGGTGCTTCAATTTGTGCATCTGTGCCGCAAGGAAAAGGCTCTGAGAGCACGATCCAGCGACCCGGTGTGCGCGAGGAGAAGTAATGAGGGTCTACCCAGGCCCCGACGGGCAAACACGCGTGGTGGACATACGCACCTCCACTGGCCTTCTGAAAGGGCCGAGTTCAAAAATTATAAGGCTGGTGAGCCAGCCTACCATGGAAAACAAGATCACCGAACAGCAACACGGTGGTCCAGAGCAGCATCGCGTCGTCGGTCAAGAAGATGGTGCGAAGCACGAGGGGGAGGATGTCGGCGACGCAGCTGATGTTTAGTTAATAATAGATTTAAGAGATAAGAAATGTAAGAAATAAGGAATTAGGTTAATATTTGTATTGTTTAATTAATAAAAGGAAAGCGACTCTTGCAGGTGCGCAACACGTGTAAATAAAAATCCCTAATGAGCGTCTCTTGCAAAAGCGCAGTATACTATTGTCAAACTTAAGATAAACCTATTGACCAATAAACGAACGGCGGTAGGGTCACTTGGCGGGGGCGGGGCATCCGCGCTGGCTCACAGCGGTACTAGGTGCGCGCGCGCAACGTATATAAAACACGGCCGCTGTGAGTCGAATAGTTAGTAGTCATCAGTAGTCATCAGTCAGTTGTCATCAGTCAGTCGTCATCACCAGTCATCAGTTATCAGTAGTCATCATCAGTAGTCACCAGCCAGATCTCGTGAAGACATCTCATACGCTTTGAAGAACAGTGAACAGTGAAGAACCCGAACAAAGAAGAACCGCGCTTTCAAGATAGTGACTAGGGACCACGTGGTCAAACAAACCAAGTGATTCTGCCGCCATTACCTAACAAGTTGTGGTTTCATTCTAAAACGACGATACGACCCGCCACGAACACGGATCCCGAGGATCGGATCACCGGCCGCCTGCCATTGGAGGAATTATCATCCGATCCGATCCACCCCTCAAGCGGCGAACGATTCCGAACTCGATATTCGGACATCCCAACCGCAACAGAGATGAAACATTTATTAATAGTATGTAGTTATAAAATAATATAATTCGCGTAGTATCCGAAAAAAAATGTTTCTTTAGTTGATAGCATATTGTTATTAATGTATGTCATTTTTTATTGATTTATAACAATTAATCATGTAAAGTTATCGTCATAAAAAATATTATATTCATATTTTAAAAATCTTAAAATATTGATAATCAAAAAACAATCCTTTATTGACTTTCTTAATGTACTTTTAGCTCCATTATTCATATGTTCCGTTACAGTTAGTCAAAGTTATAATTATCATATCGTTATCATAATGATAATGAATGTGGAACACAGATCCTCTCGCATCCAGAGACCGGTTAAATATGTTTTATAACTATGAAGATTAATAATCAATAATTTCTGTACACAAACTTTGAGCACAAACTGCTCGTTATACTACGTGAGTTTGATTGTATAAGAAATAGGTTAAGTGATAGATGATTTTGGCAGAACTAAGACATTTTTATTATAATTTATTAGCAAAAAAATATTTATTTATCACCGTAAGTGTTTTTTTTAAGAATTTATAAAAGCTATGTATTCAATGAAGAAAACAATAAACAACATTTATTTTCAAAATTTCAATATTACAGTAATTTTAGTTTCAAAAATGATACGCATATCTTGGGCTGAGTTTAATTTTTTTTTGCCTTCCCATAATTTGGTGTGCGTCTGATAATACCACTTTATTGCATTAATATAAAATACTAAATTGAGGAGATGTTTTAACTTTGATATTATTAATTTAAAAAGTTCATTTAAATTCTTCTTCTTCTTCTACCTGGCAATTTCCCAGTTATAGCCAGGGTTTGCCTTACATGTTGTGAATTGTTTTGGCTATTTGTTTTTTACGACCGGCCGCCTGCCTGACATCAACCCTCTTTTGGGAATCAACATTAATCAGTGATGTCTAAATACTTTTAGAAAGTACATAATATGACTCGGAAAAATCACATTGGTACTTGCCGGGCCAGGATTGAACCCGGGCCCCCGTGCATGAGAGGCCGGCCTTTTAACCACTGGCCACCACTGACTGAAAAGTTCCTTTAAATTGTATATAATATATCGTTTACAAATACTATATATAAAAACCGTGCAGGACTATGTTCATAGATGTGTATTACTATGATTGTATTTGCAAAGCAAAGCTTAGAAGAACATTTTTATATACTGTAAAAGTATCCAGTTCCTTTAGTCCAAGTGAATTATAATATTTGATTAATAATATCTGAATATTTGAGTTAAATATTAAGATATTTCATATAACTGAGTTCGGAACAGCGCAGCTGTTAGTCGGTCACCATATTGAGGCGTGAGACATTTTATCCCTACTAATATTATAAATGCGAAAGTAACTCTGTCTGTCTGTCTGTCTGTCTGTCTGTCTGTCTGCTACGCTTTCACGCCTAAACCACTGAACTGATTTTAATGAAATTCGGTACAGAGATAGAGTTGACCTTGAGAAAGAACATAGGATAGTTTTTATCCCAGACTTTTGAAAGGTTCTCTTGGAAACGCGATATAACCGAACTCCACGCGGCGAAGCTGCGGGCGGAAAGCTAGTTAGAAATATGAGAAAGGATTTTTTGTTATAAATTATTAACTTTTTCATCCTCAATATTATCACAAGCTGTGAAAGACTGAAGTTAAACAATATCTTATTTTACTGCAATTATTGTGTATTATAATCATTTAATTGGATTTAAATTAGTATGATTTGTTTAACATTATTTGTTAGAACTTTTATTATGAAAAATTAAAATCATTGATATATAACTTCTACGACAAATTTATGTACATGTTCAAGAGTATCTAAATTTAAAAGAGTAATAAATCTCTTAAACTCACTTGTGAATAACTTAATAACCACAAGATTTTATTTGACCAATCACTCGAAATTTTGCAAGAAATTAATCGTCATGACCATAACACAGTTTATACTACGGTTCGTTGAGAAATTAATTAATTTCACAACATTTAGATTATTTAAAAGAAAATAACGAAACGAAACAAGATTATCAATATTAACAATACTTATAACTTATTGTTAGCTAAAGAAAAGGTGTAACATTAAAAAGTACTGTTTTTTTAACATAACTTTCGATGTCTCGCAATAAAACTCTTTTCTTTGTTTAAGAGAGATAAGTTGCAAAGTTTATGAGACATCTCTTATAATGGAGTATTACTTGCAACTTTAACATTTTGGTTTACTATTTGGATTCCTGTTTTAAAGTTATATTATATTATATTATAATATTTTGTTTAAATTTAAAGATTTTATTTAAAATTTTTGTTTTTATAATATTTAAGCGTCTCATAGAAACTAATTTGATTTCGTTGTTATGTCTTCTTCAAATCAAAATATATTGTCTTTCAGACAGCGTTTCTTTTCATGTTGATGATATTTATAACTGGGTTGATTTGAATATTAAAGTTCTCATATAAAACGATATAAATATCTTAAATATTAGAAATACTTTTATACGTTTACAGAAATTTGTTTATAATTTGCTTCACTTCTTTATATATATAATCTTCTAGTTGAATGCTTAACAAAAGGCTTATTTTAATTGGTATCAGCCTAAAGTAGGTATATATTTTTGCAAGTTTTTCTACAAGCTTATGGATTAAAATAATAACGGCGTGTGAAAAAATGATAGTTTATACATCAATTTATTTATGGAGGCTCTTATCACCACCTCGACCACTAAATTGAAGGGGTTTCCAATATAAAAAGTTCTATCTTCCTCAAAGAATTTTAATACGGTTTCGTAAAATAATTGATGAAAAAAAAAGATTTCAAACTGTATGAAACCGATGTCATACAAAAACACCTTACCAAGTTTAAAGAGAAAATCGACGTAAAAACAAACATTTCTTCTAAGTTTGTGGCAAACAATTTTTTTGTCCCATGATATGTTTTATATTACTTTTCAACGATCTAAATAAGGTATTAATGACTGGGAGATATATGTATTCAAAAGTCACTCTCACCACATGTAATTTTTAAATCTCACTTTGGTACTTACTCAGTTTGACAGCTCTTACAATTGTCGGGTCAGAGCCGCATACTAATATTTTATTCTCATGTATTTTAACAGGTCTTCGGACGGGTTAAAGAACTCATACATGTTTTAGTCACGCCTGTAGTATAGTTGTAGCTTACATCCCTAGATGTTATAAATATCAAAAGATCCAAAAAAAATATTATATATTTATTTTTAACATACTTTAAGTCGACACTTGAAAGACTGAAGTGTTGTGATATTGGCGATATAATTACATGGTTGGTACTACTGTGTTTATTTTGTGAATGTTGCTCTGTTTGTTGGTAGAATAAAATGTCTGCCTATTTCCTTTTTTTAGTTATTATAACTTGTATTTGAGTACATTATGTCGTGTCTAAACTTAAAATCAAGCATTTATATATCTCATTACACTCAATGGATGACGTTGGACAAGTTTGAGATTTCCCTGGAGATCTCATTAATTATGCTGAAATGAGAAGCACTTAAATACTTGAAGTGACAAATAAAAAACATTGTAAGGTCGTAAGAAGCAGGGTTCTTTACTTTGAGTAAAATATACAGACGTCGGTATTTCAATATAGGGCTTGCTTAGTGAAGTTTATAATGAATTCAATATAACTTTGTATATCCATAATGTAATTATTAGGTAGGTATATAAAGATCTTAAAAACGTGTTAGAAAATAAGTATTTGTATAAGGAGCTTTATCGTTACTTAAATTAGTTACTTTAATTTTACCGCCAAGGATTCAAAACGCAAAAGTTGTGTTGATTGTGGATAAAATACTGGGTTCTCTTTGAAATAGCTTTATAATAATTTAATAACTGAAAAAACCTTTACAATAATGTTAGTAGTGTTAATTAATATTTACTTTAATGTGATTTCTTTTCATTGTCACACAATATTGGTTCATTTAAGGCAAACCTTCTGCTTGCTATTCTAGTCGTAAAATAACTTTGTTAAATGCAAGCGAGGTTTCCTACTCCTTGGTTAAGTGCCTTAGAAGCATGTTCCATAATAACATTATATGCAAGGTTTTAGAAAGTAATATAAAAAAATTGAAAAATATGACGTAATCATATCATCGCTAATCGTTAGACGCCTGAACTGTACTTTAATTTCTAAGTTACTGTGCTACTGAATCAAAAACAGACATGAAAGATTTAACTTTTATTATTTTATGAATTTCTTTCTCAACAATTTGCAAATTAGGGTCAGTTTTATTAAACATT